ATGGATGGTGGTGATGACCATCCTGGTGGTGGTGGTTGATGGCCAGGATGGTGGTGGTGACGGGTGCAGGAAGAGATGTGAGGAAGATACAGCAGTAGTTATACTGTAACCAGCAGGTACTATAGTGTCATCTGAAGTATTGGTAGCAATGAGGGCGAGGTACTGGCTGATACTGGTGGTAGTGAGGTACTAGGACAGTACTGGGGTATTACTAAGGCAGTACTGGGGTAGTACTATGACAGTACTATGACAATACTTAGGTAGTACTAGGACAGTACTAGGGGAGCCGACAGTATCAGCTTCACCAGGTACGTCCCTGTAGCGGGAAGTAACACATATTGGGAGGGTTGTGGGGAGTGGCGGGTGGGGTGACCATGTGGTGTGTGGGCGGCGTCATGCGGGCGTAGTCTCCGCTGATGCTGGAGACGGGCGGCAGGCAGCCAGCCGCGGCCGAGGACGACACCCCGCCCACCACAGGCTCCGTCATCATGGGCGAGGAGCACCCACCGCCCCCACCCAGCCCGCTGATGACGTGTGACCCTGAAACACAAGAAGGACGCACGTTAAGACACCTGCACTAAGAAGGAAACAAAACAAAACCACCAACACTTACTACACAACATAACCTACACAAACAGGATACAAATAACAGATAAACACATTCATCACTCATTCACTTCTATCAGCTGCACGTTTTAACTCGGTCACTGGTATCAGTTGTCAGTATTGCAGCTGATGTCACAACACAGCAGGTGTTCTGTAGCAGCGATCACACAGCTGCCACCCGACACTTGCAGCGGCGTCTTATGTTTGGACCAACAACAGGAGATACTGCTATGACCGTGTGCCCTCCCCTAACACACACACACAGTCATGAGGGCCAAGTCTCGGTCTCTCGTAGCTTACCTGAGAGGTGCACGGAGCCGGAGTAGGAGGTGGGCGTGTGGTGTGGGTCCTGGTGCTGCTGCGTGGGCCCATGGTGCACGGACGGGTGGGAGGTGAGGGGCGTGGAGGTGGGCGTGGAATGCGTAGGGGGGTCGGAGTCGTCACCACTAGGGCAAGGCTTCCCGTCCTTCACCAAGACGGGCACAGCAACCCTCCTGGGCGACCCTACCGACTGTACCCATCACCACCACCAGGTACACACGTTAGTACAGGTAATGATAACTTAGTCATAGTAAATAAACTCACAAAATGGATGACTTAACGATTGAATTTATATGAAACTAAATATATATGAGGTAGTAGGTAGCTATATTTATCAGTGGTGGTAGTTAGAACACAGGAAGGTAGTTAGGACACAGGAGGGTAGTTAGAGAGTAGTTAAGACCTTACCTGGTTGGAAGAAGGGGTTTGGTCTGACATGGCCTTCTCCTTGGCCGCTCGCTTCATCTTGTACCTGTGATTCTGGAACCATATTTTCACCTGTAGGAGGAACAGGTGAGAGACACGTGTTAATTAGTGTGGCAGAATATTGTGCGTGCTAAAGATATCCTGTTATTGAGACAAGTTCTTCAAGGTTACTACAGTGTTATGCAAACTTGAAATGAATAGCACCCATTACTAACCTAACCTAACCTAACCTAACCTAACCAAACCAAACCTAACCTAACGACACCAACCATCCCTCTATACACAAAAGATCACTGGCTGTCTGGTGTTGCCCCACCCCACCCCACCCTGACCCCTCCCCGACCTGACCCCACCCCACCCCACCCCACCCCACCCCAGACCCCACCCCAGGCAGGTATACCGTCCAATTACATATTCCCGTGAAACTTTTCGATTTTTATTGACAAAATCCGACAGCGAGTGATATATAATGGGCGCCAGATCCTGTACCGTATACATTTTAGTTACGTAGGTGTGTGTGTGTGTGTGCTATATTATTCAAAAACAAGAGCGGGACAAAAAATCGAAAAGGTATAATTGGATGTGTGGAATTTTGTGTTGTTCATCCATATTTCCAGTTTATAATTTATTTTTAATATTTGATTTAGATAATTGTGGTGTGTGTGTGTGTGTGACCAACCTGTGCAAAATGGTGTCGACTACATTATTTTTTTTGCAAATTTTGACACAAGATTAGATCCTTCAACACTGTCTACACACACACACACACACACACACACACACACACACACACACACACACACACACACACACACACACACACACACACACACACACACACACACACACACACACACACACACACACACACACACACACACACACACACACACACACACACACACACACACACACACACACACACACACACACACACACACACACACAGACACACACACACACACACACACACACACACACACACACACACACACACACACACACACACACACACACACACACACACACACACACACACACACACACACACACACACACACACAGACAGACACACACACACACACACACACACACACACACACACACACACACACACACACACACACACACACACACACACAGACACACACACACACACACACACACACACACACACACACACACACACACACACAGACAGACACACACACACACACACACACACACAGACACACACACACACACACACACACACACACACACACACACACACACACACACACACACACACACACACACACACACACACACACACACACACACAGACACACACACACACACACACACACACAGACACACACACACACACACACACACACACACACACACACACACACACACACACACACACACACACACACACACACACACACACACACACACACACACACACACACACACACACACACACAGACAGACACACACACACACACACACACACACACAGACAGACACACACACACACACACACACACACACACACACACACACACACACACACACACACACACACACACACACACACACACACACACACACACACACACACACACACACACACACACACACACACACACACAGACAGACACACACACACACACACACACACACACAGACACACACACACACACACACACACACACACACACACACACACACACACACACACACACACACACACACACACACACACACACACACACACACACACACACACACACACACACACACACACACACACACAGACACACACACACACACACACACACACACAGACAGACACACACACACACACACACACACACACACACACACACACACACACACACACACACACACACACACACACACACACACACACACACACACACACAGACACACACACACACACAGGAGTAAAGGCCACATACTTGATCAGGCTTGGTGTTCAGTCAGCCGAGACATGATGAGCGGGTAGGAGGAGGAGGAGGAGGAGGGGGGGAAGAGGAGAGGGAAGGAGGGAGATGTGAGGTAAGAGGGAGGGGGAAGAATGCAGGAGGAGGATCTAAGTTAGGAGAGGAGAGAGAGAGAGGTGGGAGATAAGAGGCGTGATAATAACTGGGCAGAAGGAGAGAGAGGGGAGAAGATAATTGTTAATAAAGAAGGTTGTGCGTGTTACCCTCCGTCACTTATTGCTCTCTCTGTCTCTCTGTTTCTCTTACTTTTACTGTCTGTCTGTCTTCTTTCTTCTCTACTCTGTCTCCCTTTCTTTCTCTCTCTCTCTCTCTCTCTCTCTCTCTACAATTACCACAGGTTGAAAATATCATTAGCATTACCTTCACAAAATGCGCATTAATTAAACCCCTTATTTTTATCTGGTTGTGCCCCAGCGGTAATTGTTTATAATTTAGTGCACTTTGTCCTTGCAATTAAATGAGCCAAGTTTAGACATTTTCAGACCAGTTTTTATTTCGTCTCAATAAGCCATAAATTTTGTTTTGGTTTTTGATGTTAATAAAGCTAATTGTAAAGGTGGGAATAGGTGTGTGGTGGGTGTGGGTGTGGGTGGGGGTGTGGGGGGGTGTGTATGGGTGTATGACTGACCTGTGTGGGCGTGAGGTGGATGAGGGCGGCCAGTTGCTCAATCTCTGGAGCGCTTAGGTACTTCTGTTGTTTGAACCTTCTCTCCAGTTCATATACCTGAGGTTATGATAATACATGGGGGTTATGATGATGATAATGACGATGACGATGATAATGACGATGACGATGATAATGACGATGACGATGATAATGACGATGACGACGATAATAATGGCAATACTGTTGATGATCATACTAGCAGTTATAATAATAATAATAATAATAATAATAATAATAATAATAATAATAATAATAACTAAAGAATATTAATGATAATATTGTCATAGCAGATATTAATAACATGGTAATAATATTGGTTTTGAGATTACGGCTGCTACTACTACTAATAATAATGATGATGATGAAGATAATAATAATGATAATAATAATGACCAGCACTAGGGGGGTAGGGGGGGGGACTCACCTGGGCTTGAGTGAAGAGTACACGACGTTTTCTGCGCTGTGAGAGGGGGAACTGCATCGCTTTGTTGTCACCCATACTACATGTTGATAGCGACGTCATGTTGCCCATATTCATGTTCATGTTGGAGCCGCCCATCAGCCGCGAGACTGTAACAACAAATACAACAAATACATTAATGACGCGACAAATACATTACTAACAAGACAAACACAACAACGACACTTTGAGTATAACACGGCAACAACAACATTTCGTAACAAGGATATATACACAGTCGTTATTTACCGCCACCAACCACGACAAATACATTACAGACACGACAAACACAACAACAACACGACAGGTAATAAGACACATAAGGTGGCATTAATCACTAATTAATTAAGACATCACCTTCTTCTTCTATACCACATTGTAACGCCTATAGCACACACACACACACACACACACACAGAAGCCTGACAGGGAGAATAACAAATGAAGAAGATTATCCACTGTTTCTCTTGAGTTATCATCCTGTGTACCATCTTCCTCTCCTCTT